CCTTAAACATGAAATTTCGAAATGTAACATTCCACCTTTAACAATAGAACATAGACATCGCCACTCACTTCATAACACGTTGCTTTAAAATCATCGTCAACCAGTCAAGAGACTATTAAAAATACAGTTTCATAAATTCAGTTCGAAAATCCGATGCATTTCCACCCGTCTTATTACGCGGGGACGCTATAGCTGTCAACAGCCAAACGCTCGGCTTCGCGAGGCAACACGACCAACACGAGCGACGCGACAAAATCCTACGTCTCGTGTCGCGTGTCGCACGTCGCGTCGCATGTCGTTCGTGCTCACAATACTCCCTATATTGTATGCGAATAGTTAAATTGAAATTCCCAAGAGTTGAGTGCCCTCCCACCCCGTCCTGTCACCAACTTACCTTCGAGTTCAGAAAGCTATCTTACAGGAATTTTTCAATAACCTATTAAACCTGAGAGCTTAGTTTAAGGAGTTAATTATGCACATTAAAAGGAAGAAGTTGTCGTGAAATATGAAGTAATTAGTGGAAAAAGAAGCTGTGGTTTCGGGGTTTTAAGATTTTATTGTAACTGGTACCTGAAGATAAAATCTCTTTAGTGTTTGGTTAAACACTGAAATGTTCCTAAGCTTTGCTGACTTTTCCTGACTAATTTAATTTGACAGGTATAAAAGCTATTAAAATTGATACATTCACAGTAACAGATAAGATAAAGACCTAGCGATATGTGTTTGTGTATCTACCGTCTACCGAGTTTGAAACACACCATATTCTTATCGTTAACAAAGTCAGCAGAATTTTTACAAAACATTAAACTCCATAACAAAATAAAAATATAAAAATAAATTGAAATGAATTCAAGCCACATTTGCGACAGAACATTTTCTATTTTTATTCACACATTTACATTCTTAATTTGGAATTCCTAGTCGATGGTGCTGCCACCTAGCGAGTGGCGACGCGAAAAGAATAAATTACTCACACGTGCGTGAAACAGAATATGAATTTCAAGAATAAAATGTGATAAGGAAAATGATCAGTATCGAGTTGGGTAATAATTGTAATTGAAGAATTGTTTTTATGAATCGATAAGTAATTCTGAAAAAAGAATTTTATGATAGAATATTTTAAATGGAAACAACGTTTCGTATCCTGGTATTGGCTGGTATGCCATTATAAGAGTTCTGAGATTTAACTTCTGAATTAGACACAGCTTTTTAAATATCAATAAATGGATGCAAACCTTAACAGATTTTAGTCGGTTCAATTACCGTGTAAGGCAAGCTAATTTTTGAAAATCTCGAATGCAGTTTTGTTTCCATTCAAAAATAAAGGAATTTTTTCTTTGATTAAAATTTTCTATCTTAAAAGTATTAAGAGGTGTTCCACTTCCACTTCAGGTGGAATTACAAAATTCCACCTTGTATATTGTGGTTGATTGCAGTGAAGGCATCAATGGTGATGACAAAACCCTCTGATAATATTAATACATTCCCTTATCAAAACTTAACTTACCTACTTTATTTACTTCTGCTTATTCCCTTGAGAATTATAAGCTAGTTATTATGTTGTGTTTACTTTTAACTTTAGCCCAAGTTATGGGTTTCCCCAAATATTTATATTGTTGTTATTGTTGATCAAAACTTCTTCCTTACTATCAACGCTCCCTTGTGATTTGACCTACTTCCAATGAGCACTCCTTATAATATCGATTATAAATCTAATATCTAAGAACATATGAGTGAGAATTGCAAATCAGATTTGGGTATTTGCCACAATTTTTCAAACCTCCAGTAATTTAGCAAATAAGTTATTAAAAAATTACATCATATATTTTTGAACACAGTTAAATGAATACACAATGTTCATAAAAGGTTTCTTTCTTTATTCTCTGGTATAAAACGTTGGCCTCGTTGGCCGAGTGGTAGTAAGTGCGACTGCCGGAGGCAAGGAGACTGGCTAGGAGTTTCGGGTTCGATTCCCAGGTCGGGCAAAGTACTACTGGGTTTTTAAAAAAATATCAGTTGTAGCACAAAGTTTGAAAATGAGCCCAGTAAATGGCAATAGGCTCACCCCTATTACAAGGGACTCATAACATAAATAAAAGTGGGTTTTACATCGTGCCGTAATGTGCACCTCTGCCTAACCCTTCAGGGATAAAAGGTTGTGAATAAATTCATTATCTCACAGAAAACCGACGTGAAACAACGCTTGCGTTGTGTTTTGTCGTGTGAGTGAGGTTACCGAAGGCCCAATTACCCCCTCCCTAGTCTCCCGAATCCCTGAATCCTCCACAATCCTCAAATTCCCAATTCCCAAAAGGCTGGTAACGCACTCGTAACGCCTTGGTGTTTCAGGTGTCCATGGGCGGCGCCGATTGCTTACCATCAGGTGATCCGTCTGCTCGTTTACCGGTTTATGTTATAAAAAAATAGGTATTATCCTATAAATCAACAACTAAAACCGAGAAATAAAACTTATTTTTAATCCTAAACCTTTTCAAAATAACTTTAGTAGCATTTAGACATTTTACGATCATAACAAATACTTAAGAATATGACGAAAGTTTATATGGAGTAATATAAAATACTTTTATATATGTTAGATTTCAGACTTAATCCAGTCTTTAAATCGTGGGCTGGAGTCTAGACTGAGTCTAGGTCTTAGCACAAGTCGTAAGTAAACATGTGAAGGCTTAGCCGGCTTTTTAAGGTTATATTTTTATGATAACATAGCTGAGCTTAAAAATTGAGTCGTGATTTTATGATGCCTTGGTTAGCAGAAGAAAATATTATTGACCCGAAGTTTAATTTTGTTGCAGTTAGAATTAGGTGTTAAAGTACTTAAGTTTATATTTGGTATTTATTAGTAATTAGTAAATAACCTTTTTTTAAGGGGGGAATTCATCGAATGACTTCTCCCGCCTGGGTGAGGCGGGTGGGAGTGTCAGACTCTTACTGACTAAAAACCACCCCGTTTCTTCTCCTGCACATCGAGCCGAAGCTCCGGTAACCGGTTAGGTTCTCCGCGACAGTATACTACCTTTAGTTTTTCACAAAGGACTTATACCAATCCATTTCAATTAAAATATTCGACAAAGTTCTACCTAAACCTATGTTTTATTATTTACTACCAAAACAATTAAGTGGTTTTTTCAGTGCAATAAAATAATTGTCAATTATTTAATTTTATTCCTTATCATACAAACAATGAAATATATTTTTACAAACAAAATATAAAACTACCATAGAGGGCTCTAAAAAACTAACAATGTTCAGCTGCAGAATGTACTTGAGACAGTAGAAGCACGTAAGTGTGTGTAGTTTTAACCCTATGTCATAGATGGCGTTAGTAGTACCAGCTCGGAATAGAAGGTGTAAGAATGGTTGTAAGACTACAATGAACTTAAAATGTGACACTATTTTTAATGGGCTCATAAAAATTATATTTAACTATCAACTAAGCATTAGCATTATACATGCATAGCAAAGGTAGGCCAAAGTTTTTGTTCTGACTATACATTTGTTATATAAGCGGCAGATTTAAAAGAAAAGAATTTGGCATTGTTTTTTATCAAGGGTAAAAAAATTCGCCTTACAGGAAAATCGCTTGCGCTATGTTTCGTCGAGTGAGTGAAGTTACCAGAGTCCATATTACCCCGAATCTCCTCAATCCCTGAATCCTCAACAACCGTCACATTCCTAATCCCTAAAATGACGTCGATTGCTTACCATCAGGTGATTAGTCCTCTCATTTACTGGCATAAAAAAAACAATAATTTTCACTGATACAACATTTAATAGCTTCACTAATACAGTTTAAGATAATAGTTCTTTACAATAGTATAATTATTCACAGTACAAAAATAATTGCACGTACAAACTACACGATTTTATATAAGCCTCTTTACAATTTTACATGATTACAATACCTAAGTTAAAATGACTGAATATTATATTACAAATCTCGATATTTAATACTTATTTAAACGGGTACTAATTATACTTAAAATACATATAATTTTTATATATTAAAATGTAATATAACTAATTATAATAGTTTCATATTTTTCAGTTCCATTAACTTACATTTCATTCTTTTTTTAAGAATAATTTTCATAATAATTTTAACGACTATTCGATTAGAATTTGGCATTTCTTTTCTTTACTTATCTTATTTATCGTTCCAATATACATTTAAATTAATTTTATTTTCTATAAAAATCCATTTTAGCATTTAAAAATTACTTTTTTGGAAAAATAAGGAATTTTCGTTTGTTATTTCAAATATTGTTAAATAATTTTTGACAAATTCGTTGCAAACATGTACTAAATGTTAAAATATACTTTATTATTTTTATTGAATTATTTTGTATGTTTTTTCAAAGTTAATTAACGATATCGTTGTACAAAATGTTCATATTTCTTAGCCAATTTTAGCAAAAAGAACTTGCTCTTACATCGTAACTTAAAACTAACATAAATGAAATATGTAAATAAATGCTTTGATATTTCCTTACATCACAAAAATAAATAAGTTAAACGATGCATGACTAGACTTGAAACTGTTCCACTGATTACATTTTAATTTCTGTTTAAGTTCAAAATCTGCTTCTATTTCTTGTGTACATGCAAATATTATTTAAGGTTCCCAAAAATCAATTCTATTGGTGAAATATTTTTTTTATGTACTTTGAACAATGCCTTAACTCGTTCACTGACCAATAGTGAAAGGCCAAGAAAATACAAAAAGATCACATTGTTTACCTACTGATACTTTATACAATTTGAATATAAGAATTACCGAGGAAGTACACGATTAAAAATGCCTTTTATAATTAACGAACCTTCAGAGGTTACTAACCTCTTCAGTTTTTTTTTAATCTTGCTAGTTAGATACAGGGTATTTAAAAATTGCCTCTGTATACACTAGCGGCGTGTGAACGTGCACACGCCATGCACTGGCGCTAGAGCATTACGTCTCTGGCGGGCTCGTGCACAGCTCGTTGTCAGTCGCGTGATGACACCAGCACCAAGAGCTGAGTGCGTCGCGTGTCTGCTGGCGCCCTGGTTACACTACTGCTTCGGCCTCGGTTTAGTATCTGGAAAATAAAAACGAGTAACTAAGTCTATCATACTTCTGGTACATAATTTGTTTTCTATGCACTTATTCAGCGCATAAAAATTTTAAGCGTCAACAATTGTTAAAAATAAACTGACTGATGAATTTTATATATTGTTCTTTTTGCACGCCTAGTATATAAATGACGGCTGAAGTTGAACTTTATTTATCGATGAGATAGTAGATAAGTTGAGTATTTTTTTTATTAATATTCATAATATTTGGTCCCCTTTGGGCGCCAACAATGTTATTGGCACCCAAATAGGACAACATTCTATTATTTTCTATAAAATATTTGAGTGTTTATATTTACCGTAGCAACAGAATGTGACCTTCTCGCGTGAGTGGAACTTAGCAGATCAGAGTTGGCTGTTGAGTCAGATCTTGAGCGGACCGTTCCCCGAGCATGTCGCTTGCGTCGTCGACCGCACCACAACCATTTATAAGGCGGAACCCGTCTGCAAATAAAGTTATACCCACTTGTACGGTGCTACTCGTCTGAAATTGAGTATGAATTTGTATGTAGTGAGTAATAACTTGTGAGTATAATGATTAGTGTTGTTTTTGATAATATAAATAAACATACATAAATAGAATATCATGAGTATGGGTTGAAAATAAAATAAATAAACTAAAATATTGTTTGTGTGGTCTTATCTATTAGAGTTAATATCATTATAATGTTAATATTTACCTGAGGCTAGTATAAATGTGAGGGGAGAACATGCAGCATATTAAAGGATTGGCTGCTGAGTTCAACGGTGCTAGGCTCTGGATGAGGGTGGCTATGGCCAAGTTGTTCTGCGTCGGTGGTATGTGGTCGTAGACTTGTAGGAGGTCGAACACGATGTATGGAGACCAGCACAGCACAAATACTGCGGAGGAAAATAGATAAAAATTAAAGAATTTATTTCAATTAGACCAAGAATAAACACTTGCAGTCAAGTCTCGGAGTTGCGAATGGCCTAGCAGATTATTGTGGCTTCGGTTCAAACGAGGAGTAGGAAATGAGTAATTTTTAATCAGTAGTCAATCTGACACTCCCTAAATCATTTATAGGTATAGATTTGTCTACAGGGCGTATACTAGTATACTCCTCGTCCATTTACAAAAAAGGATGAGCAAAATACTTAAATTGCATACCGACTTATAAAAAAAGATGTTATTTGGGTAATTTGAAAATCGACCCAATCCAGATTCTAAAATCATTTAGCGCTACAACAGGTTCACAAAATAAATAACTCTTTTTGCATAGAGCTAATTAATATGGTAAGTAGATACTTTTTCATGAAAATTAAACAGTTTCCACTAAAGTTGTTTCATTATCACAAAATGATTCAGTGAACGGTCAATGTGAACTTTATACGCTCGGATTGTCAGCCTGATTAAATATTAATGAGTCGGTAATAAACTTATCCGAATACAAATGAGGACCTAATTATTTAATCATGAAGGTTGAAATTGTTATTGTAGTTTTAGGTTAAAATTAAACTTCGGGATAGAGACGATTTTGGGTATTTGTTTGTAAAAGTTAAAGTAAGATCCTTCCCTGTTTTGACAGTTGTCAATGAGAAAGCTAAGTATTGAAATTCTCAATAAACACCATATTGCCAGTATACGAAGTATTACAGTAATGACTAAAAATCTTCAAATCAACAGATTAATAATTTTATTCAGTAAGTTAATACCTCACACATGTTATTACGACATAGCCATTCTAATATGAATCATAATAAACAAACACGAAAGCTCATTACAAACTCATAAAATACATTTAAAACATTAACTAAAATAGAATAACTCGGCCACCGCCATGAGACAGTTGATCTACAAACCATCAAAGAAGCACCGAATGAAAATACATCAGACAATCTAAATATACCCACCGAAAACAATAACGAATGTCATTTTGACACTTTTGATCTTCGCTCTAGGTATTAGTCCTCTTGAACTGGCTCGTCTTGAATCCGGGTCACTTTCTACCTGACCTGGAAAAGTTGGAACATTACATTAAATTCTGGCTGCACAGTTGACGCAGTGACTGGGCAATTGAATGATGAGCAAAGTGCCAGCTTTAATTTCTGCATGGAATAAGTTTTGTGCGATCCACAAATTATTGGTCTAGGTCTGGGTGAATGTGTTGGTTTCTGAATCTGTATGGTTTGTTTTTGTGATTGATATGAATTTGTATATTTGTAAATGTAAATCAACAATGTTAAACTTTTACACCTACTATTGTGTCTCTCTGCATCACCCTAAGATTGACTGTTTGAGAATGCCACAAGGCATTGAGTCCGTCATTGTATGCCCATTGTGAAAAAAGTGTAAATAAATAAATGCATCCACTACTCTAATTTGAATTCATACAGTGCTATTTTGAGGCCACGTTCAAAAAAATCTATTTTTTTTATGAGATAAGCCGGTAAACGGGCAGACGGATCACCTGATGGTAAGCGATCGGCGTCTCCCATGGACATCCGAAATAACAGAGGCGTTACAAGTGCGTTACCGGCCTTTTGGGAATTAGGAGTTTGAGGATTGTGGAGGATTTGTTGATTGGGGAGACTGGGGAAGGGGGTAATTAGGCCTCCGGTAACCTCACTCATACAACGAAACATAACGCAAGCGTTGTTTCACGTCTGTTTTCTGTGAGGCCGTAGTATCACTCCGGTCGAGCCGGCCATTTGTGCCGAAGCATGGCTCTCCCACACTTATTGTTATAACGTTAATCTTCATTCTATTTAAAGAATTCATTAACATCAACCATCTGTTTCTTGTAACATTTTCTAGGATTAAGTGGTATTTCTGTTTTATTGTGTGGTTTTAGTTGTTTGTCTATAAACACTTCTGGTTTATAGAAGGGCGATGTAAAAATAATGTTTCAAGTTCATCCGTGTGTCGGTAAGCGGTTTAGAAGGTTATGCTCGAGGAAATGTGGTGTTGTTTGATTTACGACCAAAGTGCGTGTTTATAGATTTCTTTTTGTATTGAAAATGTTATGGTTCTGCTTTACTTTTTTTGGGTGTTGATTTTTTATAGAAATTCTAATATAAATCTTTTTGCAAGTACCCATTTGCAATACATACAAGCCAAACAATCATTAATTATTATCTTTCAGAGAATGAGGACAAGCTGTCGTGTGGTAAGACGATGTGTAATTTGGCGAAGACTCATATAAAAATCTGTTCAACAATTCGCGAGGTGATCCGTTTTTGGAGTCGGTTAAAAACTGAAATATGTATACACTCACCATTCCTCATAGTCTTGGTTCTCCTAGAATTAATAGGCGGACTCATAACGACTGCCTTACTCTTCGTCCATATAGTGAGGACTATCACAGCGTAACAGGCTGCTATCGTCAACGCTGGTAGCACGAAGATCATGATGGATATCAGAGACATCCAGATCTGCCATCTTCTAGGAGTTCCTAGGTCTATCCAGCATTGCATCTGACCTAGAAGATATAGAAAGAAAAACTGTTATAGACTTTTAAAAATGTAAATGTATTCAAATATATAGGTTCGATATTCATAGTTCAAACTTAATAAGAAGTTCCTAAATGCATACTTTTGGTTTGTTCAGATATTTGTACATTAAAATGTAACTATCAATTATTCGTTTATACAATTGCAATAGCTACAAAATTATAAATGGCGTCGTATTTTTGAAGTAACATACTTTACGATCTCAAATATTACTCGATGTAAACAAAAACGGGAAGTCGAAAGGTAACTAGGTGAAAAAAACAATTCGTGCAGCTAATGTGAAATAAGGGGTTCCAAATTCAATCAAATTGACATCTCTAAAAGTCAATTCGATTTTAAGACGTAACTCGATACGGAAGTGGGTCAATATTTGAAAGTAGAACATTTTTTCATTAACCATACTCCTTTGAGCCCTTCCCTCATTTCTTGCGGTTGAAATGAAAAAAATAGGGTCGTCCTATTTTGGTTTGATTTGTCGGATTGTGGGGTAAATTTAATGCTGTGAGAGACGTCATCAATCTGAACGACGAATTAAATGAGGCGACACTTAGGGAGTGGGAATTTCATGGCTTTGGTTAAAAAAATTAAGAATGTATTTTGTTGTATCTATAGAGGTGGAGTGTACTAAACGTTCTAGAGGGATAAAAAATTGGTTTAGATAAAGGTACATAGGTTCGATTCCCGCACGGAACAACCCTTTGTGTGATCCACAGATTGTTGTTCCGGGTCTGGGTGTCATGTGTATGTGAACTTGTGTGTTTGTAAACGCACCAACGACACAGGAGAAAATCCTAGTGTGAGGCAACGTTTATTAAAAAAAAATGCCGCAACATTCTCTCACCTTGAACTTCTTTCACCTCGTAGAGTATCAGAAGTGGTATAGAGAACACAATGCTGATGAGCCATGCTGACACGATGAGAGCCCTCGCTCGGTTCCCTGTAACGCAATAAAATGACAATTTAAATTCAAGCCCGCAAGCAAACATTGATGCCGTCAGATTTGATATTAACACATACGGGACATCATAAAGAAAAAGCAATTTTTCTTATTGATAATATTCTCTTATAAATTAATCAAAGTAAATTAATGTTAAAGCATTTTTTACTATTAGAACAAACTTAGCTACAGGGCAAAGACCAATCAAATTAAACCGTCTGAAGCCTTTTCATAAGGTTATTATCGAAAACCTTAAAAAAAATATCACAATTATGCTTTTAAACGTAAACACATTATAATTATCTAAAGAATACGTAATTTTATTTCGCCTTATGCTTCATAAAACTAAATTCAGTGTTTAATTTTTATAGTCAATAAAACGTGTTCATTCTTTTAGCATCTTAATTCAACTTTTTAAACAGGACTTGTCCTAATTTTAGTACTTACATAAAGATATTTTATTACTCATGACACCAAGTTTCTTATTACTTTCTGAGTAATAAACAAGTTCAGAATATTACTCTGTTAAATGGCAATATTGTGAAGTGTCTTGTTACACAAATAATCCATTATGAATAATATCATTATTTTCAACGAAATCTAATTCGAGTGATCTATATTTAGTGGAATAAATATAAATGTATTTTTAGTTTCGTAGTCTCGTGAGACGGCTCGAGTACCTCTACCGAACACAAGCTTGTAGTTCCCGGATTGTTTAAAGTATTATGGAGAATTTAAAATTCTTTGCATCTTGGACTGGCCTCAATTTTGACCTGTCCCGTGTCTGAATGGCTACTAAATGATTTTTTTTTTTGGGACAAGCCCGCCACAACATCCCGAAACTCCTGCAACTCCTGTAAGCCAGGATCTACAGTAGATACAACCATAAAAACACCGGAACACTGAAGTCCGGCGCGTCCCAGGAACATGAATAACTGTCTTGGTTCCCGCAACGAAATGAATCAGAAGATATTATAAGAGGAGAAGAAAAAAAATACTACCTAAATGATATTTTTCTAAGAGCACTAAGAGTGCTTACGTTGCCATAGACTTGAATAGATAACCAAACCGAAGACTTTTAGGATACATACGAAAATAACCTGATTACACAGACAGTACTTACAGCTTCCAGAGAAGTTCATAGGATTCGTGATGGCATCACACCGGTCTATACTCAGCGCTACCAGGACATACGTCGACGCGTACATCACCACAGCCTGGAGGCAAAATTAAAACAATAAGTTTTATTAGTCATCTTCCAAGTAATCTGTTTACCTGTGTATAAATGTGTGTGAATACGCGAGAAAAGCCGCGGGTGAAAGCTAGTAATAAATAATCATGTAAAACTAAGTACACGACCAACCAATTAGACATAAACATTATCATTTCGGAGAACATCGTTATCTAAAAACATTTCTTATATAAACTTAAAAACATTAGTACTAAGCTCTCCAACTTAATTTACCGAACCCTAATTAAAGTTACGAACTAGTGCACTCGTAAAATTATCTCCATAACCAAACTTGGGGTTTTCTTGAGCCAAACTTTTAAATATCTTATAGTCTCTTCGCAATTTTTGCTATTAATTTTAATTTTATTTTTATGAATGAAGTTAACAAGATGAAATATCACTTTTGTTCGCGATAATGGGTAGAAAATTACCAAGTAATGTGAAAATTTGTTTTCTAAAGCAATTTTTTTTTGTTCTTCAAAATATTTTATTATTCCCTAATTAAGTCACGACAGGTATGAGTGATGTGGTAATCCAGACCGTCTCGCTGACTGTTTTGGGACGATAAGCTCCTAATAATATGGCTTTCAAAAAGTTCTTGTGAGTACTTTGTTCTTGTGTGTAAAATTTTATCAAAAACATATACTTGTGGAATATGTAGTCCGGCCCTGATAAAATTGCAGCATATTAATTTATAGCAATTATTATATCATCAAGCAATATGTGTCGTTTCACTTTTGTTTTTGTCATTACTTGGTACTTTTAGCTACAAATAATGTTACTGTTACTATGAAAAGTATAGTTCATATTTAAGTTTTAAAATTGCAATATAATGCGCTATTTCTAATTTTATGTAAATTCAATAGGTTCTCCTTACTTGGATCAAAAGTTTTTACTTTTAAATTGTTTATTATTTTATCTAGATTATCAGTGACAGTGTTTATAGTTGTCTTTGGTCCTTAGGTAATAAAAATAATCTTTAATTAGTTTTGTGCATTATAATTTTCTTCGTATTATCTTCTTATACCTGATTGTGACTTAATGCGACATGTGTGTGATTAGCGTAATAATTATGTCATAATTTACCGTTTCTTTTTCTATTGGGCTTTTTTATTCATTTCATTTACTTTTCTACTCAACTTTATCATTTCTTTTTAATCTCTTTCTTTTTTAGTTTACATTGCCTTCTTCACCATCTGTTACTATTATTTCTTGTGACTTAATTATTATTTTATTTAGACTTCTCAGTACATTTATATCGAGTTCTTCTTCAGAAAATACAACAGATGCTCGTTGATACATTTGTTTATTTATTACATCGGTTACCAGACCGCGTGCCGATTTAAATATTTTTTGTTTGCTTTGGCGCTGAATTAACTTTTTTTAAGAACTAAACTACAGTCAACTGTTGTTGTTACTACATTTTATTTATGTTCTTTTTAGTTTAAATGGGAATTTTGTTGTGTTGTTTAATTCAAACTAAGTTTCAAATTTATCAGCTTCTTTACCATATGACTAACTGTTTGTATGTTACTATCAGTGTAATCACATCATTCATCTTATCTTCTTGAAGTGACGTGACTAGAATATTTGTTCCAAAATATACGTCCTTTTCTATTAAAATTCCAACGGAGAAGAAATGTTTTCAGATAGGTTCAGTTTTCTGGTCGCAGGTGAACTAAATGTCTTATCTGAACTTGGGATATTCTTTATTCTATAGCCAGTTGGTTCTAATTTAGTAGACATAACTTAAAAACTTTGTCTCATCCCGTTTATTAGGTACCGTTAATTTTTGTATTAATTGAAAGTTCCTAACATCCTATCTACATAACATAATATCACGCCTTTTATCCCCGAAGGGGTAGGCAGAGGTGCACATTATGCCACTGTACAATGCAACATCTACTTTTCACCATTTATGTTATGAGTCCCATGTAATAGAGGGTGAGACTAACATCCTAACTTCTAAAATCTGTTATTTTAATTTTATGCAAACCAAAAAATTCCACCGGTTTTACTTTTATATCTCATGGTTTATAATTTTATTAAAACATCCGATCTAAAACCCACTTAGTTTTCTTGTTCACTAAATTTTTATGAGTTATTCGTGCAAAATAATTTAGTTTTTGATTACAAAACACTAGATATTTACATAATTAGTAACTCACCTGAAGGAATTTCACAGTTTTGCACATAAACTCTCCGGCCAGCCACGCAATAGTTATCTTCTGTATTATGTCTGGGAACACATAGATTAGGCCAACGAAGAGATCTAGAAATAAAAGAAAAATAATTAGGTTCAATATAGCTATTACATATGTTGGTAGGTCGCTTCCAACCAGCCTATCTGGAAGTCATTGGGGGAGGCCTATATTCAGCAGTGGACGTCCTGTGGCTGATATAATGATTACATGTATTGGAAAAAAATAATGTATATCAATTATGAATTGTTGACTGAAAAGTCGCACTTCTGACTAATCGTAGGTTTTGAGGTCAATAAAAGAAAAACACAGAGTGTCAAAGAGGGATCAGGGATTGGGCACCTCCGGATTATATGAATTTATTTTCCTTAGGGTTATTTTGTTTCGGTCTGTGACTGGATTTTGGTGTTTTAGCTCTCACACAATTGCACGAACAAAACTGTGTAATTTAAAATTATATTGTGAACCCGGTTGTAAAAGAGTAAGTATAGAGTTATTTGCTTGTTCATTTCCATAGGAATCTACACCTCAGAATGAGCAAATAGTTTCACTTTAATTTTTTTGTTGATGTTCAAAAGAAGGTACTTTTACCTAGTTTAATTGAAATAAATGATTTAGACTTTGGTTGAAATAATCAAGGAATTTCGAATGTAGGTAAGTAATTCATAAAATAATTTCAATATAAATCGAAAAACTACTAAAGAAACAACAGTTTTATATAATTATTATAAACTTTATTACAACTTATGTTTTTCCGTTCCTTTATATCCAAGAAATTATCTTTTCCGCCATCAAGGAAACCTTTTACGATTCCGTAGCTACCAACTTTTAATAAATTCATATCATAAATTACATAAAAGAAATTTTATTAATCATTAAGTTCTTTTACCGTTTCCATTAACATAAACGAACAGCTAAAACATTGGGTCGTAAATCTCCACTTTTCAAGACAGATTCTGTTGGAAGCATATGTACCTATGATCCTAAATGCATATACAAGGTGTTGTTTTAAAGCCGCGTCATTTTTAGGAGGTAAGTCGGATACCGATTCTGAATACGAATAAAAAAAAATTGTACGTAAATATTTTTCATTTTTCTGAAATTACGGAAATCCGTAAGTGCGAAGTACACGCCGCCATCTTGTAACTAGCTTTATAACGCGGCTTAACACACACAAACTCAAACACGTAATTGATATTATTTCTAATTCCATAAAACTCCGGTAAGAAACATTGCTGTCGCTTATTCTGAAATACTGTGGAACTTAAACGATTTATTATAGCCGTCTTTTTATTGGCCCGAAATTTTCTCTTATATTGAACCTTTATAACTTCTGTGACATGCCCTCGAGAAATGACACGGTTTCAAAACTACACCTTGTATATGTACCTACCACAAGACGTCGTTATGGGAACAAGGGTTCACCTCGTACCCCTAATATCTTCCCATACATGTTATCGAGACCCCAAAGCATTCATGCACTTCCCCAAGTCGTTTGAACAAGGGAAGTGAGTGCGAATCCTGATAACATCTTGGTGTGAAAGCAGTTTTATTTGTTTTTCTTTTTCTTATATGGCTACTGTATTGTGTATCGTAGAGCCAGTGGTACAAAAAAGTTTCGAACTGGGCATCAGGTTTAATTATGATTCATGTTCGTGCCAAAATACGGGATATTATCGGTGCAATATCTAGATCCTTGATAGATATAAAAGTGCTAACTATCGTGATGGCCCGGAGGTTTAAGAGGCCCGCTTCTCATGAATGAGGGTGCGGGCTCGAAAGCTACCAATGTGACTTTTTCCGAGTTATATGTACTTTCTAAGATTATCTAGACACCACTGACAAACGGTGAACATCGTGAGGAAACCAGGGCTTATAATTTTTAATAATTATAAGTCTATCATCGCCAACCCGTATTGAGCAAGCGTGGTGATTAATGCTCAAACCGTTACTGTGTGAGAAGAGGCTTTACTCAGTACCTAGTAGGCATTTATAGGCTGTTGATAATCTAGATCCTTATTAATAATTTATTCTTATTTTTACATGCATCGTCGAGTCGTAACAAGAATTGTGACTACCACAATCGGAGTAGTAAAATTGATTACCTTCAGAAAATGAGAAAAAGTGCTAACAATATTTATTTTCTTTCACAAAGTTAATATTGGCGTTAAATAGAATATTATTCTTCCCATTACTACTGAGTTAACATGTAAATGACTCTTTTAAACACCTTTGACAGTGTTTATCTTTTACTTTAAGAACATTCGTATGCGTCGTCTCACCTAAGCATTTAGATTAAGAAGCACAAAAATACTAATCAGTATTCAGATCATGTTAAATCGATTTGAAGTCTTCAAGATTTGTTGACAATGTACAATACAGTTACAGAGCAAGCTATATGTCTAGTTTATTAAGGTCTGGTATTGTATAATCTTGCCACGCATTGGCGGGTCAGCTTACACTGGTTTTGCATAGCTTGATTTAGTACTGCAGTTATGTTAAATAGCTAGCAGTGATTGAATGCTACCATTAAGTTAATGTGTCATTGAAATCCTAATATAGTTAGTTTAAAGTACCCTCTTGATATTGTACTAGTAAATCCTGAGTCTTATATTGTGATCTTATATACAATGTTTATTAATAATATCGTTAATGAGTTCTGTAATATTTATTTGATTGTTGTTTTCCACTACGTTGATAGGATTTATGTGACCAAAATAAACGAAAGAGATTTATTTGTATTGTAACTTTCGTGAGACATACTAAATAAATTATTATGTTTTCGGCTTACTCACGTAATAATTTGACGAGGAACTCGACTAGTTTCAAGCCATGCTAGAGGCTCATATTCATGAGCAGCATTTCGCGACCCGCGACTCGGCGCCTGTCGCGCTGCTACTGGGCAGTGGCCTCTGGCATGGCTTGAAACTAGTCGAGTTCCTCGTCAAAATATTACGTGAGTAAGCCGTAAATATAATAATTTATAAGAATTTATTGTTAATATCCCGTGGTATGACGGAACGCGAGACATAATGTGTTTCCTATTATCTCGCATGTACTGACATTCAAGCGGTTAAAGGTCATATCAAAGTTAACCGGCACTGCTCCAACCCAGCTCCAACCTAGCACTTAACTTGTCATTTAAATTTGAATTTTAAACCGTATGTCATATGACATATTTCATAACGTCAATATAAAAAAGCTGTTAGCGTACCACCCGCGCGCCGACAACGCGCTCAGAGGCTTCTTAGTTACCACCGATATAACATAACATCACGGCTTTTAACCCCGAAGGGGTAGGCAGAGGTGTACATTACGGCACTTAATGCCACTGTACAATGTAACACCCACTTTTTACTAATTATGATATGAGTCCCATGTAATAGGGGGTGAGCCTATTGTAATTTACCGGGCACAATTACAGACTCCGTGCTACTACTGAGATTTTTTGAAAAAACCCAGTAATACTTTGCCCGACCCGGGAATCGAACCCGAGACCCTTTGGCAGTCGCACTTACGACCAGTCGGCCATCGAGGCAGTCAACCATCGATATTATAAATGTTTTACCTTTACACAGCACTAATAAGCTGGCACGTGTCATTGTATTGTTTCTATAGCAAAAGACATTTTAGCATTACCACAACAAAAGCCTTTACTGTGTGTCATATCCCTAAGGCTCCAAAATAACATAAAAGTCAAATTGATGTTAATTTAATGAAGCGACTGCAAAAATCAGGTTACTTTGTATACACACACACTTATACACTTCCCGTGGTTCTCAATTCGAAAATTTTGAAATTGGAACGACTTTAATTTGACCAGATGACTGGTTTTATTATACACAATCATATGCACGGGCTGGTCATCATTAATCTTTACTTTTACAACCAACTTAACATGCAGTCCACAAAATTAATCATCGATCATATAGCTTACGGAATAAAGTTGAAAATAGTGGAATAGGTTTTTTCTGAGTTGTAAATATAAGGCTGTTAGTTTGTAAACTTTGTAAACATAGTGATGTGTTTAGAATACGTCGGTTACTTCATTTTTATAACAAAACTAGTGAACTGTTTGTAATGTGTTGGAAATAGAAGAACGCGGAAATTCGTGAGATTACTTTTCATACTTCGTTAGTGACGAAGGACTGATAGCTTATGGTTTTAAAAACCAGAATATATTTTTTTTGTGATTTATTGATTTACTGTATTTTGGGTACATTACCTAGTCATAAATCGTAAGTATATTTGAATTGTGTTACTATGCATTGGGGAAGAACATTTATAATTTGTTCATAGGTTGTCAAGTCAAACCATAGACAGCAAAAGTCGGAGGTAAGTAAAACATATATTTTTTTTAAAAAACGTTGCCCTACATTAGGTTTTCTCCTGTGTCGTGGGTGTGTTTACAAATATACAAGTTCACATGCACAATGACACCCAGACCCGAAACAACAATTTGTGGATCACACAAAGTGTTGTTCCGTGCGGGAATCGAACCCGCGACACGTTGCACGGCAGCCGGTTGCCCAGCCACCGCACCAACCGTGCAGTCAATTGAAGAATTGTCCGTGCAGTCAAAAGATTGATATAAAATTTAAAATAAAAACTGACTTTAACCTTTCTGAAAAATATTAAATTTCAAATGAAGCTACTTAGAAAATTTAGGACAAATTTCACCGACACGGATTTTACATTAAAATTTAGAGTGAAACGAGTAATTAGAAAATCTGTGAATTCCGACGTCAAACAACTTCCTAATTCGAAATTACGTTTTGGCACAAACACACTGAAAAACCGGGCGATGTCACCGAGAAGCGCACACCACATAAATCTGCCTTGTCACTGAATAGTAAAGGTGTTTGCATACCGAAGTAGATATCTTTTGGGTGAAAAATTGCAAGCATGCATCCCTAAAGGGTGATCCTTTTATTCCCTGCTGTTATAAAATATTGATCTTATTATAGTACGGAGATAAGATGAGGGGATAGGTGTCCATTTTGCGCAACAACAGGCACACCCTCTATACGTCTTTACTTCTATACCATAGTGACATATAGATACGTTCCGA